ACCCGTACCCGATTTAATCTATCGGGTTTTACCCGTACCCGTACCTGTACCTGGTCAAACCGGGTATTCCCCGTCAAAATCGGGACAGGTTCGAGTATTACCCGTGGGCACGGGTATAGTTGCCATCCCTACTTGTTGATCCTACACAATGAGAGTAAGAATCTGTAATTTTTGTTGATCCTAATTTTTTACTCCAACAAGTCATTTTTTCTTTCTTGTCACTTATATACTTTTGTTCATCAAGGATGAAGGGAAGGAATTTCTTTTTCACCTTGAACTTTATTACATAATTGCATAAAGAATTCTTGACATATGTGCTTAGAATATGAATCAACTTTTGTGTTGATGCAAAAATATATCAATACTAAACTATTTTTTTTTGTTTATGTAATTAACTGCTTCCATCAAGTCATTAACCATTACTAAGTTTGAACAAGTTTTTTGATTTATTAAACAAGTTAAATTGTATATTGACTCTGCTCAAGCAACAGAATTGAGTAGAATAGCGCACCATACAATTTATGTATGATATATATATATATATATATTAAATATATATATATATATATATATATATATATATATATATATGTGTGTGTGTGTGTGTGTGTGTGTGTGTTCATTACAGGTAATCAAAAAGAATCTAAAAAACAAACTATATTTTTTAAAATGCAATCTACATCGATTATCAATAAAATCGATGTAGATTTGTGCATAAATCTATATTGGTTTTCCTTACAATCGATGTAGATTTATGCACAAATCTGTATCAGTTTCAAAATCGATGTAGAAGTGTATATATTTCTAAGTTACCGTATTCTATATCAGTTTTAGAACGAATGTAGATGACCTCGCAGAACTGATATAGATAATGCATCTTGTAGTAGTGTTAATTAAGCACAAAATATCTATAGATTTTGTTAGTTAAATGCAACTAAAACTCAAATAAAAAGATATTTCAGACATGGTGAAAATTGTATAAAAATTACTTCAAAAGATAATTAAAAATATTCAAAAAAAATATAATTTCATATTATTTTTTAGTTGCTTATAAGACATATATTTCACACAAATAAAATTTAAAAAATAAAAGATCATAATAAATATTTTAAAATATAAAAAATCAAAACAAATATGACAAATAAGATAATTTATCTATTTTTTTTTCATTTATTAAACTCAAACCAAATACATTGCTTAAAAATATTGAACTTAGTACCACTAAAATCACATCTCTTTGCCAACCAACAATCCCATGAACAATATCCCATATTTATGATAAGTACCAAACCATTAACACATTAAAGTCTCATCCTGAGTTACTAATACCTCTTAGTGTTGACCCACCATCACGCATGAGTACCAAACTCTTTACCATCGTAGCCAATATAGGGTATAAACCATCAACGAGCCCACTAATCAACCCATCAATCACATTGTGATCAACACACCAATTATATCTCCTAAACCCATGAAAAAACCAACAACAACCATGATTGAGCATCTAAACATACTAAAACAAGTTTGTATACCATATTAACGATTGAACCAAACACCCCATCACTTTATACATGCTACATGCACACCACTTGAGAAGCATCGTGTGATATCATATTACTCCAAACCTATCCACCATGACACCACTTATGAACTAGCATCAACCCATAGTAATTAGGTTCCTATTATTGGTTGTTTCTTCTTTGGCTTTGAGGTTACTTAGATTACTTATGTTTTTTTTTTTAATTACCACTTGCGTCTCTTTAACTAAACGTGTCATATTTAGTTGGTTGCATCTTTTTCTTGTTGTTTGCATGTGACATTGAGTTGTGACTATCTTTTTCTATCCAAATATGGATGCTTTTCATTTCATTTTGATTAATAACTTGTATGTGTATTTTTGTTATATTCCTTTCACATTCTTTTTAGTTTCTTTGGATCAAAATTGTAAAGCTAGTATATTCTTTCGTACGTTAAAAAATTATTTAAATAAAGAAATATGCCTTGTGGTACCGTGAAAGGTCAAGTAAAAGGTAATTAATTAACATATTGAGATAAAATCTTTAAATAGTAACTATAAATACTTCAAAACTATGTAAATAACTCAATTTATATTTATAAAAAATAAAATAAACTAATATAAAAAAGTAAAATAAAGATGTCTAATTGTTATCAATAAAATATGTGTTTCGTTTTTAGTTATCACAACTTTCAAAACATTTCAATGAAGAAATTTATATCTTATTGCTTAGAATCAAACCGAAATTTCAACATTTGAAACACAAAAATAAAAACACTCAAAATTAGTAATAAAACACATAATTGTTGAATATATTTGTTTGTTTTTATATTTGAAATAGTCAAACCTCATTTTGACTCAAAGTAACAATAAACAATCTTCTCCGTTGAAGTATTTTGAAAGTTATGACAATTATAAATCAAAGCACACCGAAATATTAAAATCTTACTATTGAAAGTCCAAATCCTTTGCGTTAGATTCTTATCTCATGTTTTTACCAATTTTAACTCAAATGCTCACTTAAAATGATGATTGTGTTTCCCTCTATGCATTATCATAAGTGAATGATGTGCTTGATGATCATGTGCTATATTTACATTAATTTTCTTAATAAAATTAAAACTTAAAATTTTTATAAATGACTAAAAGTTGACATTTTAAAAATAAGAAGAAAGAGAAACTTTTACACACTCCTTAATTACTAAATGAAGTGTAAAGTTTTTTCACACTGATAACCAATCATATTTTTTAATAGTATCATATCAGTTGCTTATTTAATGAAATAATAAAATAAGCAACTTAAAAAAATATAATTGATTGTCAGTGTAAAAAATTTACATTGTGAATGTATGAATGATTAAACTCTTATTAAATTATTTATATAAAATATTCATTAATATTGTGGATGATTAATTTTGGTTAAAAAAATTTGATTGAGCAAGATCTTTAGGTAGAGTACTTTTTTTTACCCATAAATTTGGATTTCACCAAAATCTAGATTAAAAAGAAATGAGTTAATTTAAAAAAATAAAGTATATATATATATATATTGACGTTTATCACTGTCATTTAATAACTTAATATCCTTTAATATATTCAATTTTTGTAAACTATATTATATTAAATTTTAAATAATTAAAAGTATTTAAACTTATTTAGCTTAATTATTTTTGTATTAATTCTAACTATAATATAGTTTCATTAAAATATCATAAGTTCATCTTATTGTTATTTCTTCATATATTATAAAAATAAATATTATTCTATGGCCATAAGAATGAAAGTTTGAATTAATTTGTAGTTGAAGATCTACCTTGGGGATTTAAATAAGTAAAACTTAAGGTGAAATAACCTCTAGTTATTTGTTATTATAATGCTCATTTATCCTGACTAGTCACTACAAGTATAATTCAAATTTTTATATCAAGAACAATTAATATGTATTTATTAGTATTAGTTACAAATATTTCTATGCATATTATTAAATTATTGATATTTATTGGAAAATTGTTCTTACTCCTTATGTTTCTTGTTTAAAATATTTCATTACTTATAATAAAAAAAAATATAGATGATCTACCGGCAATACCTAGCCCTTTTTCTTCTGTCATATCAGCAATATTTTCTGGGACCAATTAGAGTGTGGACGCTGTTGCGAATTCGGTCACTTTCCATGGGGAGGCATTGTCGAACTTCACATTTCCTCTGACCCAAGAAGTTCCTACAGTTATTGACGATCCTATAGTGGTTACCTTCTATTTACCCCTAGCTAATCACGTCAATCCCATATTAAATTTTTATCAACCCAATATGTAAATATTGTAATAGAAGTGTGAGAAATAAATAATTTATAATTATGTAAATTGTTGTAAATATTTTTAGAATAGTATGTAATATAATTATAAGCTAACTATATCAATGTAGACAAATTGACAAAATCTTCCTTTATTTTTATGTATAATATTATTAATAATATACTTGTGTTAACAACCTATAATTAATATATATATATATATATATATATATATATATATATATATGAAATAACAGTAAAAGTTTGATAGATATGTATTGTTAATGTAGAAGTTTCTATCCCAAGTAAGAAGAGACTTTAAAATAATTACTTTTTGTTTTTACTTTTTTTAATCTATGAAAATCACTTATTAGAACTACTATATTAAAAGAAAATAACGGATGAAAATAGATAACTTTTTCAAAATTAGTTTTGGAGTAATTTGGCCTCTCATCTTCAATTAATTATAAATTATTATCAATATAATATTTAAATTAATAATGTGTGATCCACTTATTTTTTTAGGAGTAAATTACCAAATTATAACTACAAATTTTTTTAAAATGCACAATTATTTGTTAATTTTCTCCTAAAAGACAAGAGGATGTGAGTCAATAAATACTTGAAAGATTTGTCAATAAATACCCATTTTTTTTAAATAGATTATATTAACTAGTTATAATTATAATATTTTTAAAATGTATTCGAATGTAATTTGCTGAGTTATTTATTCTAAAAAAAATGTGAATGTAAGTTAACAAATTTATTTCAATTTTTCATTTTATCTTTATCTCATAAAAAAGTATTTATGAGAAAATTTATTCAAATAAACCTATTAATATATAAAATCAAAGAAAAGTCATTAGAGTTAAGCTAGTTATTAGGTAGTTAGAGTACATGTATGAAAACTTATATTTTCATAAAATATATATTAAAAGAATGAAAGAAGAAAAACTGTTACTTTATACTTTTAAACTTTCCAATTAAAATTCAAACATAAAAGTGCTTAAAAAGGATAATTAAATTTCTAAAATATTTTTAATTTTTAATTTTTTAATTTTACATCTACAATATTTAATTTAGTACTTTTTTTCACACATCTTCTCTCATTTTTTAAATTTTTATATACACCCTCTTACTTTTCCTTCATCTACCTATTTTGGTATGGGTGTGATATAGTTATAAAGAAAAGAAAAAACAAAAAAGGCATTCCCTTTCTTCCTTCGTAAACGCATCTTCTCTCTGCAGTGTGCAGTCCCTACTGTGAGTGACTCCAAGTTTCCAAGCGAAGAGAGGCACAGCAGCAGCAGTTTCCTTGGCATTGATCGGATCTGACTCCCCAACCGGACCCGGATCCGACCCAAATGGGAATGCCCCATAAACCATGACCCAACGCGTGGACGACGACACCGAGTCCTGCCGTTTTCACGATTCCTACGACCGCTTACTCTCCTCCTGCTCCACCTCCACCTCCGACGACGACACCTCCACTCCCCAAAACGACGCCGTCTCGCTCAATGCCCTCCCCCAATTCCCCATGTGCAAGTACGACGCCTGGATCTCCGAACCCTCCTCCCTCTCCGAGCGCCGCTCCCGCCTCCTCCGCCAGTTCGGCCTCCCCGCGCCGCCCCCCATCCCCCGATCAGCCTCCTCCACCCAATGCACCGACACTCCCGCCGCCTCTATTTCCCGATCCAAGTCCGACACCACCGCGGATCGCGCCGTCAAGCATTGCAAGTCCTCCGTCGTTCCCATCGACGACAATGCCAACGGTTTTCTCCTAAACAACAATAACAATAATGATAATAATAATAATCATGTTCGTTCTGTTAATGGTGCTTCTGCACCTTCTGTTTCCGTTGTGAGTGTGTTTGAAGATGATGATGGAATTGTGGACGGGGATGGTAATGATAACGGTAATGGTAATGGTAATGGTAATGGTGATGATAATGATGAACAAGCTTGTACGATTAGGGATTTGGATAACGGGAAGGAGTTTGTGGTGAAGGAGGATGGGGTGTGGAATGAGGTGAAGGAAGTGGGGACTGGGAGGCGTTTGACTGTGGAGGAATTTGAGATGACGGTGGGGCATTCTCCTATTGTTCAGGAGTTGATGAGGAGGCAGAATGTGGAGGAGGAAGGTGGTGATGGGGAGGGTTTGGATGGTGGTGATGAGGGGGATGGTGGTGGTGGTGGTGGTGGTGATGGCAAGGTGAAGAAGAGGGGAGGGGGGTGGTTTAAGTTCATGAGTTTGAAGAGTGTTGTGGTGGGTCAGAAGGAGAGGAGAAGCGGCGACGAGAGGGATACCTCGTCGTCGGAGAAGGGGGGTGGCCGGCGGTCTAGCTCGGCCACAGATGATAGCCAGGATGGTGGCAGTGGTGGTTTGGGTCATGGGGGTGAGAGGGTGAGGGTTAGGCAGTATGGGAAGTCTTGTAAGGAGGTTACAGGGCTTTATAAGAGCCAGGAGATTCAGGCTCATGATGGATCCATTTGGAGCATTAAGTTTAGCTTGGATGGGAGGTACCTTGCTAGTGCTGGTGAGGATTGTGTGATCCATGTTTGGCAGGTTGTGGAGTCGGAGAGGAAGGGAGAGCTGCTGGTGGAGAAGCCGGAGGATGGGAATTTGAACATGTTGTTTGTTGTGAATGGGTCCCCGGAGCCTTTGTCTCCTGGGCTGGAGAATAATCTGGAGAAGAAAAGAAGGGGGAGGTTGTCTGTTAGCAGAAAATCCTTGAGCTTGGACCAGTTAGTGGTACCGGAAACTGTGTTTGCACTCACTGAAAAACCCGTTTGTTCCTTTAAGGGCCATCTTGATGATGTGCTTGACCTTTCTTGGTCCAAGTCTCAGGTTAGCTACTATTTTGAATATAGGTGTTGTTCTGTAATTTCACTTGTGTGTTCTATGTCTGAATGTAAGTTTGTTTTTCACTCATATGTTGGCATTAGTTGGTCTTGTGCTTATTGTTTACTACACTTATACGCATTAAAATTGTTATTAGTTTTTCTGTGTTATCTTGTTAACAGATAAAATCACTTAGAGGAAACAACTGGACTTTTCTAACCAATTGATTCTGAGTGCTAACCAAGTAAGCACTAAATAGCGGCTGTAGCGAGAAAGTGGATCTAATGGAACATACTTAGATTAAAGGAGTATAGTAACATAATACTTACTACACAAACATTACTAAATGGTGGCTGTAGTTAATAGTGGATCAATGGAACATAGATTAAAAGGAGTATACTGAAAATTTGATTTTTTTTATAGAGTCCAACAGTGTCTATTGATCTATTTTGGGATTAGACTGGGTTGATACTATTATATAGTACTATTTTTAATTGCCAGAATAGGCATCATGAGACGATGTGTGGATTCTAAATTGCATTAGGATATAATATTAGCTAGAGTTAATTACAGTTTACTCCCTGTAATTTGTCAAATTCCCCGATACTCCTCGTTTTACTTCTATACTAGAGAGTTGGGGTGGGGGGGGGGGGGCATATGCAATCTCATGAGACCTTAGGAAGTGTTATGTAATTTGCTCTATTTATTATTTAGTGTTTAAAACTTTGTTTTGTTGAATATGCTGTTGATGGAACAGAATTTTTTTTTATTAGAGGTGCTGAGAATTTTTTTTTTTTTCTGGTTTTTTTTTTCCTGGTTATCAATTCATGGAATGGAAGCATTTTGTGTACTATTAGAACAGTTAACTTTTTACTTCATGGATGTAGAGGGAGTGGCTGTAAGTTAAAGGGAATTTAACTTTGCCGCGTAAGAAACAGAAAAAATATGTTCAGATCAGTACCTTGCTTTAGGAGTTGTAGTGGCAATTCTCCCCATGTTGTAGTATACAGGGTTAAAATGAAAATAATAAATTTTAGTGGTAGACATTATTGCAAGCTAGGAAGATGTCTTTGAAGAGCTTAATTTGGGGAGGGTGGTATATGTTTCTTGATTATTATCAATATGTGATCTTTAAAATTAAAATATTTGTCATGAAGATGTGCAGCGTGTATCAGAAATATAAACTAAACTATATGTGCATGTAAGTCATCTAAATGTTTTTTCTCTGTTTGGTCAGCAATTGCTCTCGTCTTCGATGGACAAAACAGTGCGATTGTGGCATTTGTCTAGCAAGTCTTGCCTGAAAATTTTTTCACACAGTGACTATGGTGAGCACATGCATGTATTACATCTTGCAAAGCTCTCATTTTTGCTTCTCCTTTTTCTGAATAGAATTTATAGACTATACGTCTACACTCCTTTGGTTGGGTACAGTAACATTAAAATAAGTGCCGGAGTATGCATTTGTGTTGGAAGTTTCTTCTGTTGCTTCTCTGACTAAGATTTGAAGAGAAATGCAAGCAATACACTCTTAGACATGCACTTTTGAACATCAGATTATTGGTTGAAATTTATCATTACTTGTGAAATTAATAGTGAGACTGAGAGTCGTTAAATTAGAAGAAACACCCATGTCTTTTTGCGATTTCAATAATAATAAAGAATGTATTGGAAATAATGTATGAGAGTGTGTTGTTAGCATTTCTTAAATTTGAATTAGATTCACAGCATGACCTTTATCACTATACAATGTCAGCCCTTATGCATCGATTGATTGACCACATTAATGGACTGGACAGAGGCATGGTCTTATCAAAATTCATTGTTATTTCATCCTTCATATAGAACTGATTGTATGAGAGTTCTTTGGCTTCTTTCACATGTTGTCAGTTGTCACTTAAATTTAGCTATAAAAGCATTTCTGTACACCCCCACCCCACCCCACTCCAAACCCTTTACCCCCTTGCTAATTATACCTTTGCTTCAATTTGTTCTCTGTCTGGCACAGTAACTTGCATCCAGTTTAATCCTGTTGATGATAGATACTTCATTAGTGGATCTTTGGATGCTAAGGTTCGCATATGGAGCATTCCTGATCGACAAGTTGTTGATTGGATTGATCTACATGAGATGGTCACTGCAGCTTGTTATACGCCTGATGGTCAGGTTGGTTCAACATTTGTATGCATCTTTTTCCACAAATAAAGAACTTTGATTTTTAGGTCACAATTCAATAATATTTTCTGGTCTCTGCAGGGTGCGCTAGTTGGTTCATACAAGGGTAGCTGCCATTTATATAATACATCTGGTATCGGCAGTGAGACTCCAACTATATATAAAATCTATATTCTGATGATTGCAGCAGGGCCACTGATTATTATGTTTATCATTAATTTATTCTATTTGATTCAGAAAATAAGTTGCAACAGAAAAGTCAGATAAATTTGCAGAACAGGAAAAAGAGATCGAACCACAAGAAAATTACTGGCTTCCAGGTATTTGAAGGCTTAATTTTTGGGTTGTATTAAATTTTCCCATCTGAAGGTTTTAAATGGAAAAATAAATAAATAATGACAAATAATTGAGAAGAACCTACAACTATTGTAAATTTTCTTTGACGGGTAATAATGCTTGTGCTTGTTTTCTAACTAATTTTTATGAACAGTTTGTGCCAGGAAGTTCATCTGAAGTACTGATCACTTCTTCTGATTCTCGGATTCGGCTTGTTGATGGTATTGATCTGGTTCATAAGTTTAAAGGTAGGTAAAATTGGTTCTATGTTAAGTGAATTTTATTGAAGATATCAAAACAAGTGAATGTGTATTAACATTGTTGGGTACCTGATGATAATTTTTACTGCTGCCAAGGATAAAACTATTGTTGAGATAATAAATGCTCTGAAACATATGAAGAAGACTTCTGACAAAAATAATGAGAACAAGTGATAAAAAAGTATGCATATACGCGTGTGTGCATGCGCACACGCATGTGAGGTGTGTATTATGTAAGAGCACTAGAGGAGTTGATTTTCACCATACAATCACACATAAGTGGTCAATACTGATTTGACTTTACCATCTGTGTCAGATTAAATGATCTAGATTAGTTCTTCTCATACTCTCAACACATTTTGTTTTGAAATGATTTTTCTTTTTGTTACTTTAGTAGTATTTCGTTTATTTATTTGAATGATATGAGGAAAAGAAAATTGTGGTCATTGCTAGTTATAATTCTTCGATGGAATGTAAGATCTCCCATATATGACTTTCCATACTGGTTTCCATTTCAGAGTGAAATGATGCAAGTTTTTTTCCAGGTTTTCGGAATGCAAATAGCCAAATTTCAGCCTGTCTGACAGAAAACGGTAAATATGTTGTTTCAGCAAGTGAGGATTCTCACGTATACATATGGAAAAATGAAGCTGATTGCAGACCTAGCAGGACTAAAGGTGTTACTGTCACAAGCGCATACGAACATTTTCACTGTAAAGATGTGTCAGTGGCAATTCCTTGGCCTGGTATGGATGATGCATGGGAGATGCATGATACATATTTTGGGGAAGAACCGGAGCTTGATGATGATGGGGATGAGAATAATGGGGATGAGGTCTCATCGGCCAATCATCCTCCTACCCCAGTGGAGGAAAATTTTGGTTCTGAGGGTTCGCAATTTGCTTCAGGTTGCAACAACAGTCCACTTCATGGAACCATTGCAAGTGCGACAGATAGTTATTTTCTTGATAGAATTTCTGCAGCATGGCCTGAGGAAAAACTTCTAACTACAAGGGAGCGAAGCCCTCGGGTAAGTGTGGATTTATCTAATGGGGTGAATCAGAATATGGCCTGGGGTATGGTGATTGTAACTGCCGGCCTTCAAGGGGAAATTAAAATTTTCCAAAATTTTGGATTGGCACTTGGTATATAAGAGGGGATTGAAAATTTATGCCTATCAGCATGGGAGAATGAGTTGAAGGCATCAATTCAGAAGAAAAAGTAAAGTGGTGGGGCTGTTCTGTTTTGGACTTCCACATTCTCCATTAGTTGGTGGGGACTTGTACAGAGAGGCGTTGGGTGAGATATTATAAGGTGAGTTCCATTTCTTCCGTGTTCTTTTGCTTATCGATGAGATATGTTGCAAACTTGCAATTCCAATCAAGTGTTTGGGGGGACAAAAAAAGAAAAAAAAAAGGGGTAAAAACAGTGAACAAAAGGGAAAAGAGAAAGAAGGTACACCTGGAATTTGGAAACCAGTGGATTTATTGTAATGGGAAAATGTAGAGATTAACGGGTATGGGAAAAGCTTGTTGAATTACAAATGATTATTCTTTTACATTTGTTAATATTAGTCCTGTTATTATGTAATCAATTTCTTGTCCAGTGGAATTAATTTCAATAAAACAGCATATGGCTTAAAGTGTTTGTCGATAAAATTATATGTGGAACACCAAGAGTTAAGAGTAAGAGGGCTTTTGTATAACAGATGAAAACTCCGAAACTTGTCTGAAAGTAAATCACTTTTCTGACTCAACAATCAACATGCTGAGTTTCTCGTGCGATTGAACAGTTGTGAGTACCGGTAAGTGGTAACGGTTAATTCACGATCCAAATTAAATCGATTAAGTGAGTTTGGAATTTTGGATCAGATTTTTTTAATGTTCTAGTTAGATCTAATTCAATAAAATCAAATTTCGGTATTATATGGGATTGGGTAACCAGTTTTGTCTCTTCAATTCATTATCGAACTCAATTCGATAATAAATTTGATAATAATGATAATAATAATAATAATATTTGAATGATAATTTGTTCAGAAAAATATTTATTATTGTTTTTATTTAATAATAAGTTGTGTTTTAGATCGATAATATTGTAATAATATTTTAAATTTTATTTTATATTAATTAATGTTAATTTTTTAAATTGATAATAATGTAATAAATTAATAAATTTATTTTAAATTTTAATTTGTATTATTATTTATTTTATAAGTTGATAATATTGTATTTATAACAATATAATAAATAATTTATATTTATTTTAAAATATTTAAATTTTTACAAATAAATAAATAAATTCATTTATGTAAACTTGATTAATGTAACTTAATTACTCGTAATTAGGTTGGATTGAATTTAAAAAAAAAAAGTACGAATTCAATCTAATTTATTTCATTAAATTTTGGTTGTGTTTGAGGCAAGTAACAAATTCATCTAAATCTGGCTTAATTCAGCCGCCTACACCCAAGGTTGTCTTCTTTCTTGGGTATTGTTTAATTTGGCGTCTTCACCGTTAGCAGATGGAAAAATTTACGTTTCATGCGTTTGGTGGGCATCAACACAAGTGTGCGATACTGAAAAATTGTGTATAATCTGAATTTCTTATTGTGGCACATTCCTGTAATACCCAAAATTTCAAGAATAGAAATTGAAAAAAAATATATAGTTAAATATATAATACCAACGTGTAATTATGCTTCAACATAAAATGCTTTAACTGTTAAAATTACTGTATGCTTTCTGTTAGTGTAGGATTCTTCTGTTCACTGCTCATAAATTATTTGCACCCAATCAATAAAAATCACTTGCAGTTTGGGTACAGTTGATATGAACTTTTTCGGCCTTTGACAAGATATAGAAACTGAGACTAACATTCGGAAACAGTGATAAGGTAAAATTTAGTTTAAATGTATAAAATCAGTGAATTTTAATTTTAGTTTCTGTATTTTATTTTTGGTTATCCTTCAAAAGTTTAAAATTATTGTTTTTTTTTCCTTCTCAAAATCAATCTGTTCATGTTAAACACAAATATTTTACATGAAAATATTTTTGGAAACTTTTCTTTAATGAGAGAATTTTTAAATTTTTTAAAACTTTTTTATCTAATTCAATTTTTATTTATCATAATTGTTTACGAATTAAATTTTTATATTTTAAAATAAATTATCAATAAATAAAATAATATTATATTTATTTATCATAAATCTAAAATATAATTTATATGTTTAAAAATATCTATTTATATAATTTTTAAATATAATTTATATATTTAAATATATTATTTATTTATATATAATTTATTATAAATTTTAGCTATACATAATAAATATTTAGCCTGTGCAATACATAGACTAAAATATTAGTATATGTATAAAATCAACTTAGATTGATGTGAATGACGAGAGACTCAACGTGAATCGAATCATAACTTTTAAAAATGCAAAAAGATTCATGCCAGAAAAGGAAATATCCACTTATTTGGTCTCTATTAAACTCGTGAATGAAATTGTCCCTGAATTCGATGAAAAAAAAAATTACATACATATAATAATTTTCATCCTTTCAAAATTTAAATTACTTTTTATTAGTTCTAAATATTTATTTGAAGAGAGGTTATAAAATTCAATTTAGGAATTTGAAAAAATATAAAGATGGTATGTTGACCGGATATTATACAAACATGGTTACTTAATCTTTTATTAATACAAAAACTGTTAACAGATGTTAGAAGACAATAAAAAAAAAAAAGAAAAAAAGATGAGCTTTAAGTTTTTCCAAAGATAAAAATTTACAAAGATCCAAAAAATAAAATAAAATTGCTAGTCGGGGAAAAACATATTTGATTCGTAAAATTTTCTCTGGTGTAACGATTTTGGGAATTTGAAGTCTTACATTACAGGTAATGTTGTGCTAAATGTGCAGAAATTACAAACCATTAACGTAGTATACAATTTATCAAGGAGTAAAATGGTTAAATAAATAATAATCTTTTTAAATAAATAAAATAAACTAGTAAATTATCTTACACAGAAGAAAATCTGCGACTACCATCATAAATCATAAATAAGATATAAAAATTTCTTTAAAAAATGTGTATACTGAAATACTATATATCATTATATATTATAGGTAAAATAAATGCACAGCTGTAACCTTTTTTTAGGTGTTCAACCTGAGCATCCAGTTTCTTGGATATTTTCAGCACAGAAATTATCATTTTTTTTCTTCTTCTAGATCTCTATCATCAATACAAATAATGAATGATCCGAAGGAGAGAAATAAAAAATAAATAAAAATTGTTATACACCTATAATAAATAGTAAAGTTAAAAAATTATTAAAATTATAATATAGAAATTAAAAAATCTAAGACAAAAATATTAAAAATTTACTTAAAAAATTATTAAAATTAAAATATAGAAATTCAAAAATTTTAAGTGAAAAGATAAAAATATATTTAAAAAATTATTAAAATTAAACTATTTAAATATATAATAATATTATTACAAATAAATTAGAATATATAAAATAAAAATAAAATGA